TGGCAATGGCACATACGTCAGCTTAACCATCAAAAAACCAAAGTTTGTGTTGTTAACTTGCTTGCTGCCAGTTTTGGCGACCGAGAGATCAAGGGTTTTAGAGAGAAAGGTGAATGAAACACAGGTATCAAAAACTGTGTTCAGCCACCTTAAAGCAATACTTGAAGAAAATCTTGGCAGGCAGAAAGTCTCAGCCACTTCGAACACTGTAACATATAATTAATGCAAAAATCACACAATTCTAAATGACACTGACTCAAAACGTTCTTCCAGTCGTTGTTTACGAGGTCATAATTTGCACCCTTGAGTAACGGTTTTGTGCAATTCTTTTTTTGTTTCTGAACAATGTTTTTTTTTAATTCTTTAACTTGAAGAGGATAATGTTCATGCCAAATTTATCTTTAAAAAAATATAGGTCACCATGCTTGTAACGTTTGAGAGAAAACTAGCATTTATTTTGCAATCGAGCTCAGCTTGAGGGAAGTCTCTTACATTGTGTACGTGCACACGCTCATGCGCGCACGCTAATGATGCGAAAATCGCGCGCAGTAGGTATGGCATTGCACAATGCAATACTGAGGAATCGCCTTAAACCAAACCACGGAAACAAATAGTTTGAAAAAATACAAAATTGAACCACCTCAAGCATCTGAAATGGTTAGCCTGAATAGCACTCCAGTTAGTCGGAATAATGCTCCAGTTAGGCTGTTCATAGTTATAGCTGTCAATAATGTTTATGTGTGTTAGTTGTTTATTTACATATCATAACCTAGCATAACATAGCATACCAAAGCGTAGCGTAGCATAGCATAGTATACCATACCACATGTATGTTAAAGAGGCCCATGTTAGAAGTGACTTCTTAACACGTTATAACTACAGAAGAAAAGAAAATGAATGGCTACAGGAAGAAGCTCAACAAACTCGACTGGAAAGTGTAAGCCATATTCTATCTATGCAGCTATCCTGACAATTTAAGGGTCCAAACATTATAGCCTGTTCATTTGAGGTTGTCATTGTTTGTAGCAAAAGTCTAGCTTTTATTCAGGTTAGGGGAAAAACGATCTGTAAAACTATGAAATTTACAAATTTACACACACCACTCCAAACATAACATTAATGCATTCATGAACAGGTAGACGTGGACCCCTGGGGAAAAAGAGATCAATGGAAAATTCTAATAACTATATGTGACCCTCCATGGGAATACAGGGATAAAGGTGATAGGATGCGCCCAACACGCTTAGTGTGTCCTGAGACACGCTTAATGCGCATATTTAATTTGTAGAACAATGAAGGATACACAACGCTTTGTTTCGGAGATCTTAAAGTGCACCTAACCCCAAAATTTATTTTCCGTAAAACGAATCTACTTGTTATTTGAAATACTTCTGCGAGAAAAATTTGGATTCAGTTAAATCCTCGATTTTCTGTGCCCCGACGAAATCTCGAAAATAGCTCCAAAAAAACCACCATTTTGTTTTGCGACCGAGTTTGACGAGAATGGGTCCAGCAGCTGTCATGACCTCTACCCAGGAAGGTTGAATATTTCATGTCCACTCATTTCCTTCAGGATGTTGCAATACACATTCCAAAAGTGCACAGAAACGCCTTCTAGAAGTGCTATCGGCTGTTGCAGCAATATCCCAGATTTAAAGAAAGATATACTGTACAATTTACTGGCGATGATCGGTCAATGGTACAATAAAGACGTAAACGATGTTAATTTTGTCGAACCAAAACAAGCGAACTGTGAGAACCGTTTAAGAACTCTCACTGGAATTTGTTCCACAGACTTTCAAACGCTATTTTCAAAATTTTCTGCTTAAAGTCAAGCAGCAATTTGTAGAAATACTACTGACAACCTATATCTTTCAATCCCACAGTATTTATAACATAGCCCGCAAACTTGTGTGATCAATCAAGAAGTGTTACGACCAATAAACTGATATGTAAATAAGACGCAACTGTAGGCCGCCAACCAACACTTATTTCTCTTTCGATTTAGATAAAAGTGGAGGATTAATCCTTTAGAATTACATGATAACAAAACTGTTGGACTCACACTCTGTGAACTGATAGTGTTGAAAATATGACTGCGTAATGCCGCTATCAATGTTATGCCCTGGGGGGGGGGGGTCACGGGATAGGGTGGGTACTTTGATCAGAAACAAAAATTTGGAGTCAAACTTCCTAACCCTTGGGATAAGATTTCAATTCAAAGTTCCCCACCTTGGGAAAAGGTTTTGAGTTCAAAGTTACCCACCAGACCGAGAATTTCAAGCCATTTGAAGGAAAGAATATGTACTTGCATTTAATTGACAAGACATTTTCATTGATCGCGCTGCTCCAGTGAAAGGCAGTGGGGAGGCTCTGCTCTCTTTATATAAAATATGTATACTAATAAAGTCTCGAAAACAAGCTTCAATTTGACTTTGTTTTCTTTAATAATTTGCTTTCAGCTGATGAATTCACAAACCCTAAAATATTACCACTAGCTATTCTAGAGTCAACATGTACAATCATTCCAGTTTTTCATAGAATCTAAAAATTTCAATTATGAACGTTAAAGTTTATCTTTCTTCAAGTCATTATTGACCCTCTTGCTGTAGTTTCATCAAAGTGCAGCACTCTTCTAAATACTAGAAAAGTCTTTTCTTCTTGGATATATTCAGTACTTTTAAATCCGATTTTGGACAACACAGCAAAATCTATTTTTCCTCTGTAATAAGTTTAGCCAAGCACTTAGAGTTATCGTAAAATCTAGCTTTATTTTCGTCTGGTGTCCAAAGAGAATGAGATTCATCTTTCAATATGCAAAGTGAAATCCAGTTATTACACTAGTTTGTCTGGCTCTATCTCATAGTTTACCTCACTCTTTCTCAGGGAAATACCGATTGTTTTTTGTATAACGTGTATTGAACAGTGTTGATCATTGACCGATTATCTGTCAACAAAATACGAGTGACTCAATTCGTTTCCAATACAGCCACATAATGTGATGGAGATCACCACTGTTCAGTACACTCTATACACAGCCACCTGTCTGGTAAATCATGGAGACCCACACAGACCAGATGGTGCCTCAATTTTGTTGCAACTGGAAGGCGTGGGAAGCATGTTTGAACTTCTGGGAATTCTGGGTACTTTCAAGATGGCAGAACACTCGTATCTAAGCTCCCCACATTCAAAACCCTGGTTGCTTTTGTCGTTTTAGCGCTTGGACCGCTTGGGGAACGCATCCTTTCTGCTTATCTGACAAATTTCACTGCAAACTTTGAGAAAATTTACATTTTTTATTTGCAGGTACGACTTAAAACGTGTGACAATATAAAATCAGTAATTGTATTTTCCTTTAGCCTGCAGTACTGGAGGATTAGCAGGCTCTAGCGCAATACACGAGCACGCGTGAAGCGTGAGGCGAGAAAAATGGATTTTTCTCACCTCGCGCTTTGCGCGCGCTTGTGTATCACGCTAGAGCCCGCTAATCCGCCTGTATTGCAGGCTATGTTTCCTTCCGCCTTGCTTCCCGCAGCTTCAAAAATACAGGTCCAAACAATTCTACGATTTTCAATGGATCGAAGAAAGTGTTTTGGAGGTCATCAAGTCTCGAAAAAGTACGTCGCTGTTATAAACATGAAGCATTCCAGAAAGTAAAGCACAAACTGGATTTAATAGAACAACCATACTGTGACAAAAAACATTCTCACTAAGGACAAATGTAAACAGCTATAAACACTCGTGGGAATCTGGAAAATTACCATCCAAAGCAGTCCTTGAGTTTTCTCTACTGCTTTTCGTTTGCCTGCTCCTCCACATCGTATATAGCTTTCCATTCCTAATATACAAGCAGTTCATCCACAAAGAAGTCTTTCCCGTCGTCACTTGAAATATTGCAAATTGCTCTCAAGTTGTCAAATGTGCTCGATCGAAGTTTATTTTGGATTCTTTCAAATTGAAACTTAACTCTGACTCCAGTGACAAAAAAGAAATGATTCTGAAACAAAACTTGGACGTTTTAGTCCCAAAAGATACTGGAACGATTAGTTTTGTTTTCCATTTTCTCGAGCAAATACAGAGAGCTGACTGTGGCACCATTGTGTTTGGTTCCCGGGTAGACGTCATCAACAACCACCGCCCCAGACTCCCCAAAACGTGGTCACGCAACACTTCAAGCGCGACTTTGAAAGGGCATAGCAAATCAAGGATTCGAGCAAATTCAAAAATGTTTTGCCCAAATGCTTCGAATAACGAATGGATTCGTTTTGATGAAAACAAAATTTGGGGGGTTAGGTGCACTTTTTGTTTTGATAAGCGTGCAAACTGTCACACCCTTAGTGTGCAAGTTAGGACGCTAGAACAGTCTAGAGCAACTGAAAAAGAAACATGGCAGAAATTCGCAATCTTCCTCTCCGAAAAAGTTGCAATTTTATTACTATTCTAAAATAGCAACAATTAGTCTACTAGCGTTTTTGAAAGCGACAAAGAATGGGAGAAAAACTAGTCGATCACGTTAGACGACAAATTTAAGAGAGCATCTGAATCACATCAAACACAGGTAAAACATTTTAAAAATTGATCACTTTCCTTAGAATCGTGTTCTTGAACTATGAGCATTTCTAAGTTATGAACTTTGAGTTTCTTTTGCTCCGGTACGTGTTAAGTATTACTGATGATAAATCCACAGTTGACCATGGTTGTCATATTGTTTTGCAAACGCGAATTCTTTAAAAAACTATCATGGGATGTAAAGACTTTTTGTAACCATGGCTACAGATAAACATAACAAATATGTCTGTGGGTCTTACAGTTTATCATAATTATTATGTGACTAAACATGGATTGCTCTAGAATGGAAGTTTTGTATTTGTTTGTTGTGACGGAAGATGTTGATATGTTTTCTGGAATTGGACTTATCGGAGGAAGCAAAAGTAACTGCATTCACCACAAATACGTGCATTGCCAATTTGGCGGGGGTGAAAAACTGTGTATTGCAAGCCTTTCACTGGATGAAGTTGTTGAGATGTTCAATAAATAAGGGAGGTACTATAACATACTTTAACTGTACACGTACTTAAGCATGCTACTGCGAGAGTATATTTCTAGTTGTACATGGGAGGTGGAGGACCTTTATACACTGTATTGTTCGTGCATTCACTGGACTCTAGATTGAGAGGTCTAGATTGAGAGAGAAGTAATAACCAGGGTCATTGTGTTCTGTTCAGTTCTTTGAAAAGAGAGTTACATGTAACTCTCCCCATTAATTCTCTGCCGGTACCAAAGAATTAATGGGGCTACCTGACCAAAGGCCAGGAAGTAACCTGTGATTAGCTACCTGGAGCATCCCATCAGGAGCCATATCCATACTCCTAGTTGCTTCCTGCAATGGAAACAAGAGTTATTTCTCAGCCTTGTAGTAGGCTTGTTAACATACTTTGAGCTAGCATTTGTAGTCCAGCTAGCCAGGAAAAATAAATGCACAAATATTTTCAGCACGAGTATATGTCATACATGGCTAAAAAGACACAGAAGAGGCAGACAACAATCATATCCTTGAGTGACAGCAATCAGCAAGAGTTGGAGAACATCAAACAGCAGAGAGAGCAGATGTTAAAGGAGTATCAAGAAAAGAAACAAGGTATTGCTAGAAGCTAATTGATTTCACCGTATAATTTTACCTTCAGGATAATTCTGAAAGGAAAGGAACTTGGACCTACATTGGCTTGTTGATTTGCTTATACTTTTGTTGAAGTTGTCTGTCAGATAGTTGAAAATACCTCTAGAACACCCCTCAATTGAAATGTTTTGGCAAATTTGTTTGCCCATTATGCAGATGGGAATGGTGCTGAAATGAAATTTAGCAGCCAATGAAAATTATTTCTGTCAGTTCAGTTAATATAGGGAAATGATGATGACCAGCTCACTTAACCTCTGCTGCAGGGAATACTTGAGCATTTTAGGGCAACAAAAATTACTGTAAGTCATTGCCCTTGCCTTCTTTCATTCCTTTTCTCCAACTTCCTTGCTATTTTAAAGGAAGAAAAAAGCAATCCTCCAAGCTAGGGATAGTTAAGANTAACGCACAGACCTAAAACTTATTTATCTTTTAGAAGATCGCATTTTCTTGACTTCATCTGCCAAATGGTTTTTGATTTTTTCATTGCGCGACAGTTAGAACGATCTATAGCAACCTCGTTCCCAGGGTCTCATGGAAGGTGGCAGGGGTATTAATGGTAAGGTTTTCTTATTCTAGTTCACGATTTGTTAGTTTAAGGCGAACAAATCTGTTTTTCCTTGCGTCGTTTCTTGTGAGAGTATGAAGTAGTCAATTCACGGAACTGCCAGAATAGAGTTGCATCAAGTGTATATACTAAGCTTTCGAGACGAATTATTTCTAGAGGCCTTTAAAAATCCTTATTTGATTTTATGTTGGATCCCTAAATTCTCCACTAACTCGACTAACTTTTTTATGCAGAAATCAGCACGCTGAACTAGACAATAAATTTGTGCAGCTTCTATATGCGACTGTCGTGACTGGAATGTGACGCGAATTGTTTGAGATGATGTGAAAAATGAGCTCCACCTCATCTTATTTTCTTTATATGTGAAGATATTGTAATGATGCACTGCTGATGTAAATCGCAAGAAATCAGAATTTGGGTTAGAAAAAGAAAAGAAAAGAAAAAAGACATCAAAAAAGGAAATTAAAGAAAGAAAGAAAAAAATTATAAAAAGAGACACCCCAACCCTGACCCCAGCCCTGACCCCGACCCTGAGTCCGCGCTTTTACTGACACCCAAAAGTTTTTGCTAAGTAAATTCATGCACAAAATGTGCAACAGCCCAAGAAAAGTCACATAAAGTTTAGTGAAACTTCAAAACGGTAAACACGACAGAAATTAAATCCTCAATTCATTGATCTGTCAAAAAGTTTAGTTGAGTTCAGCTTTCATAAGTTTTTGCTGGAGGCTTTTGTCCGGAAAGTTCATACTGTAGTAGATTATCGAAATGTGGTAAGCAACTTTTTGTGGTAGAAAATGCTGTCACGTGTTCTTGGAGGCAGATAAGACTTCTGAATAAAGGGACTTGTTATTAGTTGCTCTGGTGATATTTCTTTAGTCTGTTCACAGACCCTGTATTTTGTCTCGAGTTCGTTGAGCATTAGTAACCGCGGAGGCGAGGTGGGGGTTCGAACACAATGGGGTGGCCTCGGGGAAAGTAGCAAAAAATGAAAGTCTGTTTACCGACTAACAGTTCCTCCAAAGGAGTTGAAGTCTTTTTGCATTCTGTGTTAGGCATTTTTGTAAATTTTACTGTTTTAATTTAGCTAAACCTCGAGTAAGCTCAAAGAAATCGTTTCGTGTTGGTTTTGCTGATACCTTCAAGGGTAAAAACAATAATACTGTACTTGTAAATACTGCCAAGCTGAATTATGTAGCTTTCTTTGTGTTAGCAGGGACAACTGCTTTATTGTTTGGTAAAATTTATTTTTTTATCAAGGTAGCCAATCGGGAAACCATTGTACACTATATATCCCGGGTTTGAGTAACCAAGCAAAATGTGTGAAAACCCTATCCACTGGTTTGGGATGCACTGCATGGATATTTCCCTGCCCCTTGAGCATTTTTTGATTGATATTAGACATCCTTAGCTTATTAGACCTTCAGAAAAAATTCAGAAAAAATGGCTCATCCAGCAGAATGCACCACAAACATGGGACACTTGAGTACTTAAAATGTGTCTCATAATATTGTTTCCAGCTTTGAAGCAGCTCATGCTTGAGAAGGAAGCTGAACTTGCCTTAACAAATAACGAACTGGCAGAATTGGAAGAGTATCAGGTTAGCGGTATACTTTTTGTAGCTTTAGAGGGAATTACTTCAATAAAAAAAAAACGCATATTATGTATAGTCTAGCAGAAAGCCCGCAATATTTGTCATTTTCACATGCCAGATGTAAATGGCAGTTTGACTGCATTTGAATTAAGAAATAGAAAACATGTACCATGTTTCTATTGAGTTATAGAAACACGAGTGGAAGTTTGGGAGAACAAGAAATGCGAGTGTTTCCGCAGCTTTTTCGAGTTCTCCCAAACTTTCACAAGTGTTTCTATAACTCTATAGAAACATGGAGAACATGTTTTTCTATTCTTTTTTATTCTTTTAGAAAACACCGCGACGAAAAAAAGGAAAGCAACTTGTTAACTTTGATTATCAAAATGTAAATTCTCTTTGCTCGCGCCATCATCACGTCAACAGCTTGTGCTAGTTATGTGTTTCTATCGAGTTTTGGTAGAATTTTACTAGTATACTAATGCAAATGCTGTAATCTGATTAGCTGAGTCATTGAACACTATCAGCCATTAGTGTGCAGTGGCTGGAGGTCGTCTAGGAAGTGGTGACGTCTTTTTCGTTTTTCCAAAGTTTTGCAGGAAAACTATGATGCAAACGGATAATTAAATTCCTGAGAAGTCTAAATGATGGACATTTACGGTTTCTTGACATTTAAAAAAGTTGAAATTATTGAAAAACTGATGCACGCCTGCACACAACTTCAATTTTAAATGACAATTCAATCCAAGCGATCTTTTTCAGGCACAAAGTTTAATAATACGTCAAGAAATAATTGGAAACCGTTATTTGAAGTAAATTGTAGTAAGAATTCTACTAAAAAATTAGATTATTCCCTGTTGATTTCTATCTGAACAATAGTGTTTCTGTCGAGGAACTATGGGCTGATAGTTGTCCCGTGGAAATTTGATGTTCTTAAAACAAATATTTGTCCGAGAAGCGAAGCTTCGAGGGCAAATATGTTAGTTTTAAGGACATCAAATTTCCAAGGGACAACCATCAGACCGACAGTTCCGAGACATAAACACTCTATTGTCTTTATTGTTCCCCACTAAATTTTCTTCCGTGAGCCAGTTCAAAAATCATATCAAATTATTTTCAACTTTTTTAAATGAAAGCCGTGAAAGCCAAATTGGTTAAATTTAAAAAGGAAAATAAACAAAACCCACTTAATACAATTTCGTTTGTCCATTTTTTTGCATAAGGTCACTTGCTTACCAAAAATTTTTCACGGACGGGTACTATCCATCCAGGTATTTTCCTTGGACGGGCACTATGGGCTGACAGTTTCTCTCCACGGATGAACGCTATCGCGTCACATGATCAATTTAAACCAATAAGAATCAGAGAAAATTTAGTGAACTATAAGAGGTGATAGTTGATGAGGCCGAAGGCCGAATCAACTAGAAATCTCGAGCTCATAATCTATTTGATAAATAGAAACACATTTTTTAACCAATCAGTGCACATTTTTTCTTAGGACTGTTTTCTAAACTACAATAGAGAATATTTAGTGCAACTTAGGACATGATAGTTTTTGAGCTTAAAGACTGCCACACACTAGCTGATTTTTTGTCGTAGAACTGCAGATTTTTTGTCGCGGTCAAATCAGGTTAAAATTTGTCGGGCCATCAGCTTGCCGCACACTAGCCGATTTTTTTGTCCCGACTAAACGTGTTTAAGCTTGGGACCGAGTCATCTAAAAGCAAGATGGCGCCTATTCCACTGATGTGACTCTCATGGCATTTCCTAATTGGTTGAGGTGTGCGCAAGCCCCAACAAGTTGTCTTGGTCCCCCGCACACTAGCTGAAAAGGCCCGACAAGATGTTTTGAGATGTAGCACTGTCAGATGTCACCCGACAAGCCCCGATCTTGTCGCAGACTTGTCTGAATTCACCGCATACTAGCCGACGAGTGAAGATTTTTTGTCGGGACGGCAAAAAATCGGCTAGTGTGCGGCGGCCTTAAGTGATAAATTTACGGTATGAAAATTAGAAAGGTATTACCTGATCTAGAATATTCAAGAGGTATATAACATAAACCTATGCAACCTTCGGAGCCAAAGCGCTCTTTTCAATAGACTTCCGTCAATCAAATAGCGGCACCTTATGGAATGCTGCGGGTCTGCAAAAGCAGTTTTGCACTCACTGAGAAACTGCCAGGAACAGCGAAGAGAGCTTTGAAAAAGTGAACACCAAACCGGCAACCATTACTGGAAGGAACATAAGAATTGAACAGTCCGAATATACAAGGAAGTTTGATTTATTGTTGCTTTATGAAATCAATCAGTAGTTGTGGTCGGCTGGCCAAATTCTCCTGACCATTGTAGCGATACTAACTTCATTTCTCAACACTTGTAGAGAGTAGTCGTAAGTGTTGTACACAAAAAACTGTTGGTTGTATTGGAGAAGGCTGTCTACACGTCCCATCACTGGACTTAACAGCACATTATAAGCTAATGTAAGAATTGTTTTATAAGAATATCGAGACTGAAATTTGGGAAATTTTAAGAATATTTTAAGAATAAACCCGAGGCTGAGATTTTGAAAAGGAATATAATTTTGTGTTGAAAATTTGAAAATAAAATAGGATTATATGTTTTTAACTAAACCGATTAAAATTCTTTCTTTCTCTAAATGGCAAAACTATCTGGCAAAAAGCAACAAAAACTGCACTAGCGGTATGCTTGTTGCTAATAACAATTCTGCGAGAAGTTACGTTCGTCATATCAGGCTTTAATGCCTGCAGGCTGGATCTAAAATGTAACACTATCCAGACACGAAATACATTCAAAAACACAGAAATAAACTAAGAATATTCTCAAGAATACTCTCAGCCTACAATCGGCAGACCGGAAAAACAATATTCTTAATAATAATGATAATGATAATGATAATAATAAAACTAGCTGACTTTCAACCTCTGTCTGTTTCTAAAATCAACATTTTTCATTAACAACCGAGGTTTTACAGACAGATATATCATGGCATCAAAGTCCATGCCAGTGTAGAGGTCCCATGTATAGACTATGATTTGTTGACATGTTGCGTGACAGCGCCAGTATCCGTAGACTCACAAGTTCAATAGAACTAAAGTACCTACATTAGCCGTCAAATTTCGTGCGAAATATTTTCACATGAACTGGGGGGTTAGCGTAGAAGCTAATTTGTGAAGGTATGTTTTTTACCTACATTATTCTAACCTGGAAGCACAAGCATTTGCAATTTCGTGCTCATGCTGGGGTGCTCGTTTACCGTAAACAAACTGTGCAACTGAGACTAGGTTTACACTAGAGGAGATTTTTCCAGATTGTTAAAAGTTTCCGGATTCATCAATTTTAGAGTATTCAGATTAGTAGAGGTTTACACTGAAAGGATATTTGGATTCCTAACCTTTTACACACGACTATAACTCCGGGAACATTCATGATGGAATGGTTAAAAAGTCGACAACGAGAAACAAAATGCCTCCGAAAAGAAGGCTAGGGGTAGGTTGAGACAGTCTGAAGTTTTCTTTCCACTAGCTGATCACAGTACTGTCGTCCATCATGTCATGTCCCTCCAGGCATTTATTCTGGTCTTTATTTAATATCTAGAACCATCCAGGTTTTCGATCGCACCATCATCGTCATCTCCGATAAAGTATGGAGGACGTCAATATTGTTATCGTCGATAAATTGGGTTTCTGAGGAATATGGCATTACCCATTATAAAAGTGATTGCCTACACCTGTAACAGAACGAGGTAATCAGCCAGCGACCGCCATCAAATGGCCATCAATGTGCCTACGACTCGACTAACATGCCATTAGAGACAGCGCATCACCCAAGCCGAAAATGAACTGGACACTAATTCGGAGAGACTTGTACCCAGTGTTATTCGTATTTCATGCCTGCCTGATTTTATCTTTTATGTCTTTTAGCGGGAAACTTGTATGAATAAAATCAACCAGTTCGATACCCTTGAATAATATCAAGTTATTTCATTGTTTATATGGAAATGAATTCTTCCAGAGAAATTTGCCAAAAGGAAAAGCCACTTGAATTTAAAAAAGAGATCAGGTGTTTCACAAAGGGCTTTCAACAGCCTAATACAAAGCGTGCAGTCTCTCCAGCAACAATCGATGCCTTTCAAACTATGATCTGGGATAAACCCTTTGACGATTTGCTACCCTCGTACAGTAAGTCTTTTGGAATGTTTTGACCCATGTTTTTCCCATTTCTAGGTACATACTTATTTCATCCCTACCACGGACAAATGTCACGACAAAACTCGCTATTGTTTACAACAGAAGCTCATCACATTGTCAAAGTGATATGCCTTTGTTTACTGTGTACATATTAAACACAACTTCCCCTGGACAAACAAAACTCCGCTTTCAAATCTTTTGTTCATCAAAACACTGAATATTAGTGAATCTACATGCAAGAGGAATACGAGATATCTTGTGACCCAAAGGTGCACAGGAGACTAGATCAGGCCAAGCTC